AAGGTAGTTGAACCAGTTCAAGCTTCCAACATAGACGATCTAAAAGAGAGGTTGAAATTGAAAGTGGTTGAGTCTTTGGAAGATTTTAAAGTTGATCACAAAATGAACATGCTTGAGAAGAGATTACGAGTTATAGGTTTCAAGGATGTTGTTGGGCTTTGTCTAGTTCCAGATGTAGTTACACCACCAAAATTTAAAGTACTCAAGTTCAAAAAATATAATGGTACAAAATGTCCCATCATATTTCTTACAATGTACTATCATAAGATGGTAGCTTATGCCAATAATGAGAAACTGCTCATGCATGTATTTCAAGATATTTTGATTGGTTCAATGAACAAAGTGGTACATCCAGTTAGATAAAACTCACATCCAATCATGAAAAGAGTTGGCTCATTCTTTTATCAACCAATACTGTCATCTCATAGATTTGGCTCCTAATTGCCTTTCATTGTAGAGTATGGAGAAGAAGGTGACAAAATCACTTAAAAAATATGCCTAAAGGTGGAAAGACATAACTACTTAGGTCCAACCACCCTTAACTAAAAAAGAGACAATAGTTTTATTTGTAAGCACTCTGAAGTCATCCTATTTTGAAAAAATGATAGGGAATATGACTAAAAATTTTGTTGATATGGTGATCTTAAACAAGATCATTGAATATGCCATTAAGAATGACAAGCTCGAAGAAAGTGAGTCTTCTACTACCAAGATAAAGCCCAAGAAAAAGGAAAGTGAAACCCAAGATATGAGTTTTTGAAGGGCAACAATTCAGGAACTATACTCCTTATTCATAACCCATTTACCCCACATAATAGCCCACCGTAAACAATGCTTTAACTTTTATATACCAACCAGTTCCACAACCTTTTTATCCACCCACTTATCAACTAACATTCTTGCAAAACCTTTTATGCGCCCATCCAACCCAACAAGTGGTCTAAGGGAATTACGAAACAGTCGAGAAAAACCCACTTTTGATCTTGTTTCCATGACTTATACATAACTATACCCAAAACTCCACAACAATCATTTAATTGTTCCTCCTCATATAAAACCACTTAAGCCATCTTATCCTTAGTAGTATGTCATTATTGCTCATTATGATTTCCATTTTAGAATTGCTAATCATTCCACTAAAAACTGTACCTTTTTTAAATAGAAGGTGCAAAATCTAATTAAAGATGAGCTGATTAATTTTGATACTAGTAGAAAAATAACACCCAATGTCAGTAGTAATCAGTTGCTTAATCATACAGTAAATATTTTAAATGAAGATAAGGAACGTTATATAAAGAAGAGGGTAAAAGAGATTAAGATTCCATTCAGTCAATTATACAATGTTTTGTATGAGGTTAGGATAATATAACCAGTAGACCAATGTACTTATCATAAGAGATGTTTCCCAAACCAAAAGTGTATGTAACATAGTAGGGCTTTGGGCCATTTTATTAAGACTTGTAAGCAATTTCATGAAGAGGTACAAAAGTTGATGGATTTTTATTAAATTGAGTTGTATGAGGAATGAAAAACTTTAAAAAGTATCAAAGTGGGTGCCAAAGCCAATAACCATTTAACTATTATGATGAAAGCCAAAATCAATCAAAGACAAGCTTATTCTCAAATCAGTGACCTTCGAAGTCCTCAGCCCATTCCCTTATAAAGGTGATAAAGCTGTGCCATAGAGGAATGATTGTAAAGTGATAGTTCAAGGGCAATAAGAAACTATGCCTAAGCCAGATGTCACAAATAATACTAGCGTAGGTGGCATAACTTGAAGTGGAAAGCACTACACTCTAGAAATGTTAAAAAAAAGTAAGAAAAAAGAAAGCAACAATGTTGGAAAAGCAAGTTAGGTAAAAGCTAATTCCAAAAAAAAGAGATAATTTAAGACCAGTGTCTAAAAAGGAATCTATCAGTTTTTCAAAATTGGTAAAGCACAATGAGTATTCTGTGATAAAATAGTTAAACAAAATGTCAACTAGGATCTCTTCATTATCACTATTATTGAATTTAGAACCATATTGCAACACCTTATTAAAAGTGCTAAATCAAGCTTATGTGACACATGATGTGTCGATAGAGTATGTGAACCATTTCGTAAAAAATCTAGTAATGCCACATTATATAGCCTTCAAGGATGATAAGATCCCACCAAAAGGAAAAAAAAAAAAGCACATAGGCTTTGTATATTACTGTTAAATGCAAAAGTCACACTATAACCAAGGTACTTATTGACAATGGCTCTACTCTTAATGTTATACCTATGTCCACCTTAGTAAGGCTACCCATTGATATGTCTCACATAAAAAATAACCATATGATTATCAAGCTTTTGACAGGACTAGGCATGAGGGATTGAAAGACATTGAGATACCTTTACAGATTCAGCCTTGTACATTTAATGTAAAATTTTAGGTTATGGATATCTTCGTGTTTTATAGTTGTTTGTTGGGTAGGCTATGGATTCACATAGTAAGTACTGTTCCCTCCTCTTTATACCAGAAAGTCAAGTTTAATATGAAGGGTCAACTTGTGATCATGGCTAAAGAAAAAGCTTTACTGGTAACTCAATCTATGATTGCTCCTTATGTATAAGTTATAGAATAATCATTAGAGTGTTCTTATTGATCCTTCAAGCTTGTTAATACTGTGGGTGAGGGATTTAAATTATACCAACCAAATTTCACTAAGATTGTGGTCAGTCAGATTGTCAATAAAGGTTGGTATACTAGAATTGGGTGGTAAACATCTATAAGGAATAAATGAGCCATCAATGATAATAGATAATAATGAAAGACTAGGCCTAGGATATGAAGTTGATGAATGGGAAATAAAGAGGATGTGAGATAATAAAAGAGGAAGAAATATGGCAAGAAATGTACCGATGGTCATTCCACACTTATATGAAACCTTTAGGCAAGAAGGACATATGTATCTAGGATTAAAGAAAGCTACTAAAGAGGAATTAAGCTTGGATGAAGCTTTCACCAATCTGTCCATTCCTATGATAGGCAAAGAACATAAAAAAATCTAGGAGGAAAAAGTGTTCATTCATCCATGTCCACTAGGCTTTGGACTAAAAATTAGAGTGTCATAGAGATGCCTACTATCCTTGATACCTATCCAATGTAATTATAACTCCCAATTGCTTATGACCAAAAGCATTGAGATGGCTTTTCATGTATAGGCCACTTATCATTTGTTATTTCAATAAAAAAGTAAGAGTACGCAGTTTTATTCATTACTTTTATTATTTTCAATTTTTGTTTTCCTTCCAACCAAAGCATTTCACCAATACTTTCCATTTCATTTAATTTCAAGTCCTCAAATAAATATGAAGATAATCATGACAACAATCAAGGATTTAATTTTGAAAACTCAATTAATACCGACAAACTTGACATTGAAAATGACACTAAAGATTGCATTTGCCTCTGGACCTAATGAGATTGATTGAACAGGGGAACAAATCTATTTAGCCTTATCAGGAAGTTAGTAAGATGATAAATTTAGGGGATGATAAGAATAATAAGGAAGTTAAGGTAGGCACATCACTTCCATTAGCTGATAAATAAAGGTTATAGGATTTACTTTGAGAGTTTGTGGATGTGTTTGCTTAGTGTTATCAAGATATGCTCAAGGTTAGCATTGAGATAATGGAGCAAGGTTACCCTCAAAGCTGAAATGTAGGCTAACTCAACAAAAATTAAGATGAATGAAACCTAAAATACTGTAAAAGATTAAAGAACAGGTAAAAAAATAGTTTGATATAGGCTTTCTACAAGTGGCCAAATATCTAAAGTGAGTAGCTAATATATTACTTGTTCCTAAGAAAGATGGAAAGGTATGAATGTGCATTGATTACCATGATTTGAATAGAGCTAGCTTGAAGGATAATTTTCCTCTACCTCACATTGATACATTGGTGGATAATATGGCCAAACACTATTTGGTTTCTTTCTTGGATGGATTCTCAAGTTATAATTAGATAAAGATGGTCCAGGATAATATGGAAAAAATTGCTTTCATACTATGTAATGTATCTTTTGTTATAAAGTTATGCTTTTGGATTGAAAAATACTGGGACAAGTTATCAGAAGGCTATAGTGATACTCTTCCGTAACATGATATATAAGAAGATTAATGTGTATATGAATGATATGATCCCAAAATCTCGTAAATGAGAAGATCATGTAGCTAACTTTTGAAAATTGTTTGAGAGGCTAAGAAAATTTCAGCTTAAGCTAAATCCATCCAAATGTACATTTAGAGCTAAGTCAGGGAAATTACTAAGCTTCATGGTTAGTGAAAGAGGGATTAAAGTTGATCTAGACAAGATACATGCCATCCAAAATCTATCTCCTCTAAACACGTCAAAAAAAGTTTGAGGTTTTTTGGACAAACTAAATTACATCTCTCGGTTCATTTTCCAACTTACCTCCAAATGCGATCCTATCTTCAAGCTTTTTTGAAAGAACAATCTTGGTGAATGAAATGAAAAATGTCAAAAGGCTTTTGATAAGGTTAAATAGTAATTGTCAAATCTTTTAGTGCTAGTACTGCTTGTTCTAGGGAGACCATTAATTATGTATTTGACTGTACATGATAAGTTAATAGGATGTGTGCTAGGGCAATAAGATGAGTCTAGAAGGAAAGAAAGTGCTATTTACTACCTGAGTATGAAATATATAGAATATGAGTCAAGTATTCCACATTAGAGAAAATGTGTTGTGCTTTGGCTTGGACAACTAAAAGACTTAAGCATTATATGCTTATCACACCACTTGGCTTATAGCAAAATTAGATCCAATCAAGTACATCTTTGAGAAGCTTTCATTGTCTGAAAGAATTGTGAGGTGGCAAATGATGCTTTCAGAGTATGATATTGTATATATAAGCCAGAAGCAATCAAAGGAAGTGCCATAGCAAAATTTCTTGTAGACTATGCCACTAAAAGCTATGAGCCAATGAGACTTGATTTTTCAAATGAAGATTTAATGGCCATCTCTGAATTGGAAAAAAAGGATGACAATGAGAAATCATGGAAAATGTACTTCGATGGCACGATTAATGCATTATGGCATGAAATTGGGGTAATTCTGATATCTTTCGAAGTACACTATTATCTCGTTACGTCAAGGTTGAACTTCAATTACATTAATATTGTGGTAGAATACGAGGCCTGTGTTATGGGTTTGCAAGCTGCCATAGATAGAAAGATTAAGATATTGAAGGTGTTTGGGGATTCAGCCTTGGTTATTTTTCAATTGAAAAGAGAATGGGAGACAAGAGATTTGAAGCTTATCCCATATCATAAGTATATCACAGAGTTGTGCAAACAGTTTGAGGAAGTCCAATTTGAACATTTGTGCCATGAAGAAAATTATATTGCAGATGCCTTAGCTACTCTGATGGTGATTTTTCAGGTTGATAACAATACTAAGATTCAGCCCATTAAGTCAGATGTCAAAGATAAGTCGATACATTGCACCAATGTGGAAAAGAATGAATATAAAAAGCCATGGTATTATGATATCCTACAATACTTAAAGAATCAGCAATTCCAGATCAAGCAACAAATAATGATGAAAAAGTCTTGAGGATATTGGCTATAGGTTTCTCCTAGATGGTGAGGTCCTCTATAAGAAAAGCAGAGATCAGGTGTTATTACGATGTGTAAATGTAACAGAAGTAAAATTATTGAGGGTGTGCATGATGGGGTATGTGAGGCACATATCAATGAATATATAATGGCAAAACAGATTATGAGAGCTGGGTACTATTAGTTAACAATAAAGAGTGACAACATTGATTATGCTCGAAAGTGCCATAAGTGTCAAATTTATGTTGACAAGTTCCATGCTCTACCCACTAATTTATATGTTTTTGGCACCACATTGGCCATTTTCCATATAGGGCATGGATGTTATTGGTCTCATTACTCCTAAAGCATCAAATGAGAGTAGATTCATTTTTATGATGATCAATTACTTCATAAAATAGGTTGAGGTAGCCTCATATGCAAATGTGACACAATAAGTGATCTACAAGTTTAGAAAAAGAGAAATAATCTACAACTATAGACTCCTAGAGAAAATCATCTTAGATAATTACAAGAAGTTAAACAACAAGATGATGAAAGAAATATATACCAAATTTAAAATCAAGCACTATAACTCGGCACCATACCACCCAAAGATGAATAAGGTAGTAAAAGCTACGAACATGAATATCAAAAAGATTCTTAAGAAAATGACCGAGACCTATAAAGATTGGCATGAAAAATTATCTTTTGCTTTACATGTTTATCGGATGTTAGTATGCACCTCTACTGAGGCAACCTTGTTTTTCTTGGTTTATGCAATAGAAGCTATATTATCGATAAAAGTAGAAAACCTATCTTAAGAGTCTTAAGAGAAGTGGGATTAGAAAAACTCGAGTGGATCAAAAGTGCTATGAGCAACTAAATTTCACTAAAGAAAAGAGGCTAACAAAAATGTACCATGGTCAATTATATCATAGAAGAATAACAAGAGCTCATAACAAGAAAGTCCAAACTCATCAATTTTAAGAAGCAAAGTTGGTGTTTACAAGAATTCTCCCAAATTCGACATGATAACTGAGAAAAGTAGACCTCAAATTGTGAAGGGCCATATGTCGTAAAAAGGGCTTTATCAGGCAGAGCATTAATCATAATGGAAATGGATGGAAATGAACTTCCTAATCCTATAAATTCTATGCTATGAAAAGGTATTTTGCTTAAAAAAAAAAAGGAAGGGTTCAAATCAAAAACCCAAAAAGGCAGTTTGAATCGAAAGGTGGTTTATCCAAGTTGAAAATCTATAAGGGCAATTTTGATAAACAGAGTATAACATCATTTGGGAGGTTCACTAAAATTAAGGCTAATATATTTTAAAGAGCTCTGAAGTGTTGAAGGCATCATATGGTTGAGTTTTTTTTAAAAAAAAAATGAGATATGTTGTCATGATTATCTGATTGTTCATCTTAAGGTATTATTATCCCAAATAACCATCATTGTTTACCTTTACCATGTCTAGCTACCAAAATTGTCCCAAATAGTCATCATTTGTAATTTTGCTTCTTTTTCAAATAAAAGATATTCATTTCATTACATTTTCTATATCTCATGTTTAATCATTACATTTTTTATTCCTTTTAAATGCCTTATGATGAATAAAAAAAATGTATGATTTGCATTTTATATATCTTGAAATTAGGATAATGATTGATAATTGAACAATATCATGAAAGATTGTACATTATTTTAGGGAAGTTGAAAAAGACAAAGGCAAAAGATGAAATTTTTAAAGCTTGGTAAAGACATTGATTCCCTTAAAGAAGAGGTACATACCTATTTTGAATGATGAAGAATAGAGTTGATTTTGTTCCCATTGTTGGAGACTTGAAGAGTATGGAATTTGAAAGAAAGAGTCTTAAGAATTTGTGTACCACAATTGAAAATTCATTAATTATCATTTGCATTACATACGTTGCATATAAAGATATCCATTGCATTTATTTAGAATAGGGATGTCACAAGATCAAACATGGAAAATGTCAAATTCTCGATGGAGAACAAACTCCTAAGGCAATATTTTTTAATCTTTGAAGAAAAAGTTTTCTAAAGTTTGTGAACCTCTAGTTAAAGGAATCTATTTCTTGTTTTAAAATCTTTAAGCCTTTGGTTAGAAGATTTTATTTTAAAGTTGTTTAGCCTCTTAATAGAGAAGTTCATTTCTTAATTTAAAGTTGTTTAACCTCTATATAAAAGAGCTCATTTCTTAATTTAAAATTGTTTAGCCTCTATATAGAGGAGTCCATTTTGTTGATTTACTGTTTAGAGGAGTTATTTGGTGTTTTAAGCTTTATGCCTCTATTTAGAGGAGTTCTTTAAAATTTTTTGAAAGTTGCATGCCTTTTGTTTAGAGGATTCTTTTAAAAGTGCTTGAGTTGAACTGGATGTAATGGTTATCTATGTCTTTACATCATTCCTATTTGACAGAAATGTGCTATGAAGGATAACTATAAACATCTCATTTCATCTAGGGCTTTAAATCAAATGATCCAGATGTACAACTTGTTTGGGTTTGAGTCGTTTAGATTGTTAGGCCATTCAAATATATATTAGGTCATTCAGATTCTAAATGGACCCATCCAATTGGTATTTGGGCTTTAAGCCTAGCTGGTATTTGGGCCTAGCAGGTGGTTCTTTTAGTTTTTCCAATTGGGTTTGGGCTCTGGCCCAATAGTAGTTTTTATTGATAGTTTTTTTATTTTTGTTTTTACTTTAACAAAAACTAAATAAAAAAATAGTAATAAAATGAAAAGGAAAGAAAATAAAAAAAAATTTTGAGATACTGGCCCAGAAAAACAAATAGTGCAAAATGGATTAAATCATGGAAATCACAAGAAGTCAATAACAGTTTGAATGGTTTTGGAAAGTCACAAATTAAATCCAAATTACAAAAGATCAATCATCCCCAGTTTAAGGATTTAGTTAAGTTATATCTTCTAGAATTAAACGGAATTAAACCTTATATAAATCATGCTTTAACTCACAAAGAATATACATAGAAATTGTAAAAAGAAATTGTTGAAGGAAGTTCTAGCAATCAAGGTTTTAAATTTTTAGCCTTACATTGGTTATGGGATTTGATAATTGGTCTAGGTTTGATTGAATTTGTTTTTGGGTTTCCTTGGTTTGATTTTTTTTTTGTTGGAGATTTCCAGGATTGGATGCATTTTTTGGATTGCTAGAAATTTTTGGAATTGGATTCTAGTTTTGGTTGTTTTCTTGGTTTTTCAAGAAAATCCTTTGAATTTCTCGATGATATTTGAATATTTCGATAGCTAAAATCTAGGATTCCTACTAATTTTTGAATTGTCTTTGCTATTTTCTAGATTTGCTATTTGAAGTTTTAGAGAGAAGTAAGAGAAAAATAGTGTAGAGAGAGAAAAAACAGGAGGTTTCTAAAGAAATAGAAGAGTTTCATCCCTTTATACCCTATCCAAATGGCATCATTTTAAGCATCAATAAAGCCAAGATCTACACATTTTACCACATTAATGACCTAAACCAGTCGTAACCTATGAAGTTGACCCACGTCCTCTTTTGCTAAAACTCAAGCCATGTTTCTAGCTAAGCTTTAAGTCGAGCCATTTCTAGCCCTCTTTTGTGCTTAAAGCCTAGCCACTTCTCTAAGCCAAGCTGAGCCGAATTTAGGTATTTTATTTTTTTCTATTTATTTTATTTATTTATTCTTTCATTTGTTTATTTATTCATTTATTTATTTACTTTTAAATACTTTTGTAAAAATATATTTAAATAAAAATAGCATTCCCAACATATTGAAGGACTAGTATTTTTAATTTAAAAAATAAGATTTTACCAACATATTGAAAAATCTTATGAGTTTTCAAAAAATTCTAAATCTTTAAAATAAAATAAAATAAAATAAGCTTACCAACATATTGGAAGACCAATATTTTATTTTCAAAATAAGGTTTTACCAACATATAGGCGAACCTTATAATTTTTACTATAAAATCAAGTTTGAAAAAAAAATTAATATTTTTTTTCATAAAATCCTATCAACATATTGGAAGAAAATCTTTAACAAAAAATCTTACCAATATATTGGAGGATATTTTTTATAACAAACCATGTTTATAGAAATTTATTACCATAAGCAAAATTAAATGAATCTGACGATGAAGCCTCTTTAAAGTGTGATAAATAGTCTTTTTAAATACTCCTAAGGTGAGAAAATATTTTTAAATTATTATTAACATATTTGTGTAATTTAAGGAAAATTTCTAGTATTAAAATAATTTGGTAAATTACAAATATATTTTAAGATTTGGATAACATGAAATCAAACCGGTACCATCCTTTGGATGGGTAATATGAGAACTTTTCTTATGTATAACCATACCCTCAAACCCAAAATTTGATTTTGTGAATTAGAATCTATCATTTAAAGATACTTACATCATGCTTGGGATCTTTCTTTAAAATGGAAGAAATTTAATTAGGTAGTCAATTACACCTAAACAAAAAAGATTATTGGCGACTCCTAAAATCTATGGCTAGCAATAGGTCCACAGATTTATATGTTATGACACTTTTAATTTTTATTACTTTTGTAACCCGTACACTTGCGTACTCTTGAATGGAAGCAATAATTTTTTAGTGTCATTTTTGGGGATTTGGTGCATTTAGGCTAGGGTTAATATTAGTAAAGACATGTTAAGGTGTAGTCAGGTATTCTTCTAAATATTTTTATGAATTTTTTTAAAATTTTTTTTATTTTCATTTTAGTATTTTTATTTTTTGTGTATTTTCTCTATTACCTTGCAACTTCATAGTTGGTTCATACATAGGACTAGGAGTCTATATCTTGTTCCTTTGGATCTTGAAATTGAGAAAACCTTTCAAACCCTTAGGAAAGAAAGATGTAGTAACCTTATCCTTATCCAACCCATGGCCAACCCACCTGATCGTCAAACATTGTGGGATTATGTTGTGCCCAATGTGGATAGATTTTAGCAAAATATTCAATGGCCAACCATCTAAGCA